ATTGCCACATCTCTCTCATCTTCCTCAAGGCGGGAAGACCGAACAACAGAACCTCCTCCTCCAGACCTCCGGTTCCCCTCAGCATACTTCCACCGGAAGGGGCCCCGGCCTTTCTTTCTTCTTTGAGGGAAACTAACTCGATCATCGTGCTCTGGGGTTGGGAACAGAACATAAATGAGAAAATACATCACTGGTTCAGCTACCTTGCCTGGCAACCACAGCATCCGGCACCCGGCACTATCAGATGAGATACACACTCTCTACAGAGACCACCTCCGTGCAAACTCTTCTGCCTGTCCAGGGAAAGAACCCTCTCCGTGGGATGGCAGCATCAGGGGAAAATGATTGGAAAACTGTGTAAAGTCTTTAGAAAAATGAAGCAGAAACTGGAACTATAGAAAGAAGAAGCAGAATGTGGAAGTGCAAGTGTCCCAAGTTTAACTGGATACAACTCAGAGCCCCTGAAAGTCACCTGAAGTCTGCTTTTCTCAGCCTCCCAAATCTACTTAATCCCACTCAAAATTTTTTTTAACTTTTAATTTTATATTGGAGTATAGCTGATTAACAATGTTGTGTTAGTTTCAGGTATACAGCAAAGTAATTCAGTTATACATATAAATGTTATCTATTCCTTTTCAAATTCTTTTCCCAATTAGGTTGTTAGAGAATACTGAACAGAGTTCCCTGTGTTATACAGTATGTCCTTGTTGGTTATCCATTTTAAATAGAGCAGTGTGTACACATCAATCCCAAACTCCCTAACTATCCCTGCCCCCCCCACCCTTCCCCCCTAGTAACCATAAGTTCATTCCCTAAGTCTACCCTCACTGAAAATTTGATCAGTGATCTCTCACATCTTGGAAAGCCAATCACAATAATTACATCAGCTCTCAGTAAACAATACTTGTTTTGCCTATATAGCACAGACATCAGTTACAAATATGACCAATTTAAGGGCTTCTTTTAAGTCTTGTTCTCTTTTCAAAAAACTAAAAATAGAGCTACCATATGATCCAGCAATTCCATTCCTGGTTATATATCTGGAAAAAACAAAAAATACTAACTCAAAAAGATACATGCATAAATTAAGAGGTTGGGATTAACATATACACACTACTATATATAAAACAGATAATCAACAAGGACCTATCATAGAGCACAGGAAACTCTACTCAAAACTCTGTAATAACCTATATGGGAAAAGAATCTGAAAAACAGATATATGTATAACTAAATCACTTTGCTGTACGCCTAAAACTAACACAGCATTGTAAATCAACCATACGCTAATGTAAAATAAAAATTAAAAAAAAGGAAAACATCAAAACTAAGAAAAAGGGAAGAAAACATATAAGCTTCACTTGTTTTTTTTTAAATCTTTAAATTTTTTATTGGAGTTTAATTGTTTTACATTGCTGTGTTAGTTTCTACTGTACAGCAAAGTGAATCAGCTATATGTATACATATATCCCTTCTTTTTTGGATTTCCTTCCCATTTAGGTAACCACAGAGCACTGAGTAGAGTTCCCTGTGTTATATACCATATGAGCTTCACTTGTGTTCAGGGGGGGGAAAATAAAGATACATGCATCCCAAAGTTCATAGCAGCACTATTTACAGTGGCCAAGATATGGAAGCAACCCAAGTGTCCATCAAGAGACTCATGGATAAAGAAGATGGGGTACATATATACACAACAGAATACTACTCAGTCATAAAAAAGAATGAAATCTTGCTACTGCAACACCATGAATGGACTTGGAGGGTATTATGCTTAGTGAAATAAGTCAGACAGAAAAAGACAATTATTGTATAATAGCACCTACATGTGGAATCTAAAAAATAAATATATTCAGCAAAACAGAAACAGTCTCACAGATATAGATAACAAACTAGTGGTTACCACTGGGGAGATGGAAGTGGGGAGGGGCAAGATAAGGTTATGGGATTAAGAGATACAAACTACTAAATATACAATGGATAAGCAACAAGGATATATTGTACGGCATGGGCAGTGACAGCCATTACTTTGTAATAACTTTTAATGGAATCGAATTTATCAAATACTGAATCACTATGTCATCATACACCTGAAACTAACATAATACTGTAAATCAACCTTACTAAAAAAAACTAAATAAATAAAATTCTTGTTCTAAAACTGCCACTCTGAAGTGAATGTGGAAGTGTGAGTGACCCAAGTGTAACTGGACACAACTCAGACTCCCTGAAAGTCACCTGAAATCAGCTGTCAGCCCACCCAAATCTACTTAATCCCAAGGTGACCTCTCTTACATCTCAGAATCACAATGATTACATTAGCTTTCAGTAAACAATACCTCTTTTGCCTATACAGTACAAACATCAGTTACAAATATGACCAATTTAAGAGCTTCTTTTGAAAGCCTTATTCTCAAACTGCCACTCTGAAGTTTAGGGAGTGAGCTCTTTGTTTCCTTGGTCAGAAATGACTCTTAACTCAGGAGACAACTCCTAAATTCAGGTTCTAGTGGCAGCTAGGGTGTTTCACCAAGGGTCCTCAAATGTTCTCCAGGAATATGATCCTCTGAATCCTGGTGGGTAGGAATGGCTTCTTAAAAAAGAGGCATGATTCCCCAAAAAGGTCTGTCTAATGCGTAATACTCTGCAAACAATGAACCTCAAGAAATGACCCTGGGGAAAAAATAATAAATGAATAGAAAGCGCAGCTAACGTTCATTGAGGGCTTTCTCCAAGCCAGGCACTATGCTCCAGGCACTTGACACGAACAATCTCGTTTCAACGCACACACGGAGACAAACTCAGGAGGTAGGTACTGTTTCTATCCTTATTAAAGGGGTGGAAAATCAGGCCTGAGTGTTTAACTCACTCAAGATTGGCATAGCCAACTCAGGATTGAAACCTCGGCTGTCGTGTGCTCTTAACCACTACTCTGGACTAAAACCCAATGTAGTGTTCGGACTAGAACATCGAGTTAGTGTGTAGGTCTAAAATATTAAGCCAAAGCCGCGGCGGGTGGGGGGGAGGGGGAGGGGGCAAGACCGACTGGTCGCGCGGTAGAAAATAGGGCACCGACGGCCCAAGAGCAGGGCACCGACTCACATTAAAGAGTCTGGCAGCCAAATTGAACTGACAGGTATCAACCACCCACAAAGTTCAAAGGAATCTCATCACCACGCTGCCGAGCCACCGGCTTCGAGCCGCAGGTGCTCGCAACGCCAGGATTACGGAATTAACAAGTCGGGCACCCACCCTCAAGTTCAGCCAAACCCCCGGGATGCCGAGCCCCGGGCCCACGCCGCGCACTGCCGCTCCCCGCGGACGCCGGGCCCCTCGCGGCCTCACGCCGCGGCTCTGTGGCCTAGGCCGGCGCTGCCCAGCTGAGCCCAGATCGTCCTGCTCCCCAACCCAAGGGCCGGCACTGACCGTTGTACGACTTCCCCTCGTCCGCCATGGCACACCGAGAAAGGGAGGGCTCTGTCGCGGGCCGCAACGCAGCCTAACGACCGGACGCCCAAGCTCTCCAGTCCGAAGTGCTCCTACGCCGGGTTCCACTGCATTTATGGGGGCGAGAGCGTCACAACCAGCCGACGTCCTACAATAATAGGCGGGGCCGCTGGGACATATGCGCGCGCATCCGACGGGCTGACGCGCCGGGGGCGGGACTTGGCGCTGCACGCCCCGCCCAGGACCCGAGCTCGCGAAGCCCAGTTACCGCGAGTTCGCCCCGCCCCCTACTCTCATCCGTCCGCCGCTAGACCGGCACCACAAAGGTAGGGGCTCAAGCAGAGAGCTGGACGCTACAGCCCAGGATTCCAAGAGGAACAGGGAAGAGAAGCCACAGGAAGGGCTGCCGAGGAATGGGAGACCAAGGGCCTTGGAGCGGGAGTGACCGCTCATAGACCCCTACGGGGATCCAACCAGGGCTTAAGTCTCAGCTTAGCCCAGCCCTTTGCCATCTGCTTATCTATGCCGTGATTTCCTCGCCTATAAAAATAGAAAACTAGAAGGTAAGCTCCAAGAGAGCAGGGACTTGACTAATTCATGGCTTTTTTCTCCAGCACCTGGCGCAGTACCATGCCTAGCACGTAGCGGGAACTCAACAAATATTTATGAAATAAGCTTCCTATCTATGCGTTCCCCCAAGAAGGGTTGCAGAGTCAAATGAGAAAAACTGCACTTGTCAGGCTTTGGTCGTCTTCACAGACCGCCCCACCCACCACCGATGTGCTGTGTTAAACCCACATCGTGGGTCAACTGGGCAGTGAAGATGCAAGCAAGACCATCCCCTGAACACAGGCCAAGGGGAGAGGAAATATTAAAACACCAGGCCTAGGAAAGACCTGGGCTCCCCCAGACACCCCCCCCCCCCCAAAGTGCTACGGCCAGCCCAGTGTGATGGTGATGGTCCTCGCTATAGCTTGAGTTTCCTTTGGGTGTGTGAAATGGGGGAACTTCGGTGACCTCGGCACGATGTGGTCGTGGGTCCTGCTCGGGACTGACAAGCATATTGACCTCCCTGGAGGGTAGGTGTTCCAGGCAGGTCTCTACTTCATTCTCGTGTGACTAGCTTGGATTTGGTGAGGGGCTTCGAGGGGACCACGAGCCTCAGCTGGAGCTGCGAACAAACACTTCTCTTCACCTTTCACTCCTGGCAGCAGGCAGAACTCCTGCTTCATCCAGCCCAAGGAAAACGTGGGGCCAGCTGGTTGGAGGATGCAGATGAAACAGGTCCAAATACTTCTGGAGATGGTCCTGGAAATTGCCACTGATCCCACTCTGAGATCCTGCTCCCCCCTTTGAAGGGAAGTTTCCATGCTAATTAAGTGCTGCTGCACTTGGTTACCCCCTCCTGGAGGCAGCTGTGTGCATGGAGCCCAAAGCCTGGCCCCTTGGGGCCATCAGCCCAACCCTTTCAGTTATAATATTGGGCAGTGGGCTCACTCCACTTGCTGCCTAGGCCTTTTGACGCTCCCACCCAAAAATGACGACATGGCTAGTGAGGCTGACAGTCTTGTTGTAATTGGGAGAAAACAGGCTGCAGCACATTTGGCAGATTGAGAGTCACCTGCAGCCAAAGTTGGGGTTATGCAGGCAGCCGAGGGGCTCAGGGCCCCCTGCCTCACATGGTGAAGAGAGGAAGAAGAGGTCAAATTCTAACCCAGATGGGAAAATTGGTCCCTGGGCCAGTTTCACTTCCTTTCCTCAGTCTCAGGAAGGTGAGGAAGGACATCACCTCCCCTTGCTGCCAAAGTTTCTTTTGCGACAGGCTGGGGAGGGTTTATAAAAATCTCCTAGTGGAGACAACCTGCGTGATGAGCCCCCCAGTTGGCCTCTGCTCCCTTCCAGCCACTTCACAGCAGAGTCCAAATCCAGAACCGTGTGTGTTTCATGGGCTGGAGGGTGGTGAGGGGAGGACGGGGTGGCCAGAGGAAAGGAGTGGGGGATTGGAGGCAGTGGCCATTCTTAGCAGTTCGAAGGAAGCAGGGTTTTTCTCCCAAGCATCCTGCACAGGCTCAGTGGCAGCTCTGGCCACCTGCCCTCCCAGGAGGGTTCCAAACCCCCATGGAGTGCCTCAGAGTGGAGAGGGTTCAGGCAAGGAAGACCACAAAGATGATGAAGAACACAATGAGGATGAGGAAGATTTTGACCATAAGCCACCGGTTGGAGGTGACCGACTGGAAGTACTTGAGGATCTCTGAGTGGGCGGCCTCAACATCCAGCTGGGCTCCCAGCACATTCTCGTCGATCCTGGGGATAGGGCCGGGAGGAGGGGAAAGAGAATGACACTGGATTAAAAAGAATGCTGTTGAAGTGTATTTTCTGCATGTTTATATACTTGTATTGATATACAGAAAAAGCTCTGGAAGGGTAATATAAACAAGTCTTGGCTGGGGTTTGAAAATCAACTCTGCAACTTATTAGCTTATGACCCCTAAGCCAGTCATTTAACCTCAAGTCTCATTTTCCTCAACTGCAAAGGAAGGAAAAATGAGGATAACACAAATCGTAAGTTTGTTGTCAATCTTAAATGAGTTATATAAAGTGCCCAACCCATACTAAGAGGATCCAAAATGTTATATTTTTTTGCTCATTGGTATTTATTGATTTTTGTCTAATAAACAGTATTGCATTTGTAATAAGGGGGGAAAGTTCACAGACCATTACGGTAAGGAAACCCTGGTTCTGAGTGAGAAAGGAAGAAAAACTTGATGATGTGGACAGAAAGTCAAGGGATAAGAAAAGCCCTATATTAGGAAAACATGTCTCTCAGGATATAGAGAAGTTCTCAGAAGAATGGCAATCTCTTGAGACACTGCTGAGGAAAATCAATATCCCAGCTAATCTGAATATGCAGTCCTAAAAACCAAATATAAACCCCGGTCTTTGCAAAGGGAGTCACAGGGAGCAGGCACCTGTGGGAAGAAAAGTTGGTGGAGCCTAGTAATCAAATAGGTAAGTGAGAGGCAAGGCTGGGCCAGTGGCTGCAAGCCCAAGGTCCTGGTAAGGTGGTCATGAGGACGGCGAGCTAATCTCTGTCCAAATACAGGAGCCTGGATTGTACATGGCTTCAGGGAGGCTAAAGTTATCAGGTTTCCTAGCTTTTGGCTGTAACTACATTTCTCAGTGTGGATGCGTTTATCATCTCATACCCAATTAAGCTCATTCATATCGGCAATTATAATGGCTTTGCTTAACAAAAATGGAAAAACAATGAATGCAATCTGGCATCTAAAAGATTTTTTTTTTTTTTCCTTGCGTTATGCGGGCCTCTCACTGTTGTGGCCTCTCCCATTTGCGGAGCACAGGCTCCGGACGCGCAGGCTCAGTGGCCATGGCTCACGGGCCCAGCCGCTCCGGGGCATGTGGGATCTTCCCGAAACGGGGCACGAACCCGCGTCTCCTGCATCGGCAGGCGGACTCTCAAGCACTGCGCCACCAGGGAAGCCCTGCATCTAAAAGATTTTAAATGGGAGTCTGTGAATGAAATCTAATACAAGGAAAGAAATTACTATTATTCTATAGTAATTTTAAGACAGAAAACTTCTTTAAGGAAGAATGTCAGCTAATAAATGTAGAAGGAATAAGCAAATTAGAAAATTACCATTTTGCAACACACACTCTCACAAACGAATCAGGCAAGGACCATCCAGGGGCTAAGGAACTGGAAATTCACAGGGACCCAAAGCATCACTCCACAGATGACTCAGTCTGATGGTCACCACCTTGAACAAGTGGCCAAACTTGGTATCACCAATAAAAGACATAACCTCGGGCTTCCCAAATACATGGAACTTAAATTTAATCATAGGGAAAACAGTGGACAAATAAACATGCAGGACCTCGTACAAGAGACACTGGCCTCTTCAAAAAAAAGTAAGTATCACACACACAAAAAAAACAAAAGGCAGACTAAAGAGACACAACAATCAAATGAAATGTATGAATGTTGCCTGAATCTTAAATTGAAGGAAAAAAGCTAAAAACTGTTTTTTTAGAACAGTTGGGGAAATTTGAGTATGGACTGAGTACTGGACTGTGTTGGAGAATTGTTCATTTTCTTAGGCTTGATAATGTTATTGTGGCTGCTCAGAAGAATACCTATTTTTGGCAGATGCTTGCTGAAGTATCTGGGGATAAAATGTCATGATGTTTGCACCTACTTTTAAATGATTCAGGAAAAAAAAAAGGTGAGAGGAAGCAAATGTGATAAAATGTCAACAGTTGGTGAATCCCGGTGAAAGGAGTAGAGGTGTTCCTTATGCTATCCTCCCAACTTTTCTATAGTTTGAAAATTTTTAATTTACAAGTTGGAGGGAAAAGGAAAATGACTAACACTACATCAGCAGTTTTTCTACCTTAGAAAAACATAAGAATCACCTGTTGAGCATCTCAAAAACGCAGATTCGGGCTTCCCTGGTGGTGCAGTGGCTGAGAGTCCGCCTGCCGATGCAGGGGACACGGGTTCATGCCCCGGTCCGGGAAGATCCCACATGCCGCGGAGCGGCTGGGCCCATGAGCCATGGCCGCTGAACCTGCGCATCCAGAGCCTGTGCTCCGCAACGGGAGAGGCCACAACGGTGAGAGGCCCGCATACCGCAAATCAAAAACAAAAACAGGACTTCCCTGGTGGCGCAGTGGTTGAGAGTCCACCTGCCGATGCACGGGACACGGGTTCGTGCCCTGGTCCGGGAAGATCCCACATGCCGCGGAGCGGCTGGGCCCGTGAACCATGGCTGCTGAGCCTGCGCTTCCGGAGCTGTGCTCCACGACGGGAGGGGCCACAGCAGTGAGAGGCCCGTGTACCGCAAAAAAAAACAAAAAAACCCGCAGATTCTTTTTCTTTTTTTTTTTTTCTGCCAAGCCAAGTGACTTGTGGGAACTTAATTCCCCGACCAGGGATCGAACCTGAGCCCACAGCAGTGAAAGCGTGAAGTCCTAACCACGGGACCGCCAGGGAATTAGCATTTTCACTGCTGTGAGCCGGGGTTTGATCCCTGGTTGGGGAACTAAGATGCCACATGCCACAAGGAGTGGGCAGAAGAAAAAAAAAGCAAATTCTTAGGTCTCACATTCAGAGATTCTAGGGTGGGGCCCAGGAAACTACATACTAAGAACTTTGGACTAAATCAGTGGTTTCTCAAGAGGGTGCTCGAATCCAGATCCACTGGCATTTGCAGGAAGCGAACACAAGAATATCTGGGTCTATTTTAAAAACATCATCCTTTCAAAATTTCAATTTCTTTTTCATATCATTGCCCACAAATTTTCTCTCCTTTGTTATTTCCCTTTTATGTTTCAATCTACTGCTAGATTGCTTCTGACCCACTCAACTGAAACTGCTGGCACTGATCCAATTAATCCAAGCCCCCTGATCCAAGTAATGCTTGAGGATCCTTAATTCACACTTCCTTTCTCAGGGGCACCAAGAAATAACGACCCCTTTCTCCCTAAAATTCTTTCCACCTCAGCTTCACATCTCTTTGCTTTTTTCTCTCATCTCCCTAAAACTTCCTCCTCAGTCTCTTGGACAGATTCTTCCCTTCACCACATGTGCCTGGAATCCATGGGGAGCTGTCCTGTCCTTATTCTCACTTTACCCATTGTCCCTGGATAGTCTTATCTACCTCCATGGTTTCACCCAGAAGCTGCTGACTCCCAAGTCCTTCTCTCTAGCTTAGCCCTCTCTTCTGAGCATTAAGACCATGCATCTCATGCCTCTCAGCTGTCCCAGAACAAACCTCATTCTCCTCACCCAGCACCAGTCTGCGGCCTCTTGCGTTCTCTCCCTATCCCCAGATCCAGGAGGACTAGCTCACAGGAGCAGTGACAAATGTTTGCTAAACCAATGAACAAACGAGTACTAACACCGAAAAATACTTATGACACTTTTTCAAGGAAGACTAGAATGTAAAGTTGTATACATACTATATAACTCTAACTTTTTTTTTTTTTAAATAAAAGGCTTTCAGTTTTGTTGGCATGCGAGATTTTAGTTCCCTGTCCAGGGACGGAACCCATGCCCCCTGCAGTGGAAGTGCAGAGTCCTAACCACTGCACTGCCAGGGAATTCCCTAACTCTATTTAAAACACATATGCAGGGGCTTCCCTGGTGGCGCAGTGGTTAAGAATCCACCTGCCAATGCAGGGGACACAGGTTCGATCCCTGGTCCGGGAAGATCCCATATGCCGTGGAGCAACTAAGCCCATGTGCCACAACTGCTGAGCCTGTGCTCTAGAGCCCGTGAGCCACAACTACTGAAGCCCGCGCACCTAGAGCCCGTGCTCCGCAGCAAGAGAAGCCACCACGATGAGAAGCCTGCACACCACAACGAAGAGTAGCCCCTGCTCGCCCCAACTAGAGAAAGCCCGCATGCAGCAACAAAGACCCAATGCAGCCAAAAAAATAAATAATAATAATAATAAATTCTTAAAAAAACACACATATGCATTGGGGAAAGAACACAAAGCTTTTATTGATACAAATCTGTTTCTTTGAATCTATAATATTCGAATACTCAAAATACACTGTAAGGCTTCCCTGGTGGCGCAGTGGTTAAGAACCCGCCTGCCAATACAGGGGACACGGGCTCGAGCCCTGGTCCGGGAAGCTCCCACACGCCACGGAGCAACTAAGCCCATACGCCACAACTACTGAGCCTGCGCTCTAGACCCCACAAGCCACAAGCACTGAGCCCACATGCCACAGCTACTACAGCTACTACATGCCACACACCTACAGCCTGTGCTCCACAACGAGAAGCCACCACAATGAGAAGCCTTTGCTATAGAGCCTGTGCTATAGAGCCTACAGCCCGTGCTCCACACGGCTGTGGTGTAGAGCACCACAATGAGAAGCCCACGCACCGCAACGAAGAGTAGCCCCCGAGTAGCCCCCGCTCGCAGAAACTAGAGCGCACACAGCAACAAAGACCCAATGCAACCAAAAAACAAAAAACAAAAATATTGCAGCCTGAGGAGCTTCAGTGTTTATGGCCTAACTCAGCAATTCAACTGAATTCCCTAGGTCTCAGCTGAACCATCTAAGAATCAGTAAATTCTCCTGGTTCTAGGATCAAGACTGCTGTCTTCACAGTGCCATTAAATTGCCCAATTAAATATGTGAGGCTGCTTAATGCACTGGTGCTGGGAAACCTGCCTTATACAAATGCAGGTGTTCACGCAGTTTCACTTGATCAACAACCAGGAGTACAAGCACTCTGCTTGCTAGGTGCTGTGGGGAATAAAGAACATCCAGGCCTGGACATTGCCTGAAGGCATCAGAGCA